CCAAGCCGATCACCTTCAGCATGCTGGTCTTCTGCAGTGTCTGGGTCTCCTTCCTGCCCACCTACCTGAGCACTAAAGGAAAATACATGGTGGCTGTGCAGGTCTTCTCCATCTTGGCCTCTGGTACTGGACTATTGAGCTGCATCTTCTTTCCCAAGTGCTACATTATCATCCTGAGACCAGATCTAAACAGCAAGGAACATCTAATGGCCAAAGCAGGGGAATGATTGTGAAATTTTTTCTTAGGCTGGTAACTTCTAATTATCCATTGTTATTGGTTATATATTCTACCTTTGGATTTCCTTGACAACTTATGTTTATTAAAACTGAAGGAAATAAATACGTGAAGTTTGTTAGTTAAATTAAAATTCAACATAATCATCAAATACACTAATAAATAAATAATAAACAAACAAACAAATGAATGAATAAATATTATGTTTTTTAAACTATTGGTTTTCCTCCTTTTCCTCAGCACACGTCAACCAATATTTGGCTTTAGCAACTCTTCAAGACAAGAGATATATGATTCATTTCCTGGGCTTTATAATGCTGTAAGTTTGGCAGATATCTTCAAAGATAATTAGTGAGGTATGAATCTCATCTCTTTCATGGTTCTTTATGAATTGGTATTTCTATTCCCCACATTATGGGTCCTACTGGAGAGAAGAGATTAAGTGAAGATGACATGATGTTGCAACTCTCTCACTAGTTTTGGTGTTCCTTCTCTTTCTCCTGAGTGCTCTTTCTCAGCAATCTTCCTTCATTTCAGCTCCAGATCAAGTTCCATCTTCTTCATGGCTTCCTCTCTCTTACAGCCTCCAGTTCCAGCTTCTCTGGGCTGCGGTACTGAACAGACTTTCTGACTTCTGGTGAGGAATTTCTAGTAGCAGATATTTATTTATAGCCTGTAACTTGCTGACAGGTTTGGCATATCGGTATTCAAATCAATTGGACTGAAGAGGATTGAAAATAAAACTCATCCTGGTCTGGTTTGGGGAATCAGTAGCTCAACCAAACTGAGGCAGGCACAAGAAGGCCATGGATCAACTCCCGGATTGAAATGAAAATCAACTTTACTAAAGGTGTTGAAAGAAAATACTGTAAGGTTGGAATAGAACAGAACAGAATAGAAAGGGACCTTGTAGGTCTTCTAGTCCAGCCCCCTGCTTGAACAGGAGAACCTATACCAGTGATGGTGAACCTTTTAGAGACCGAGTGCCCAAAAACTGGCCCCACCTCAGCTCCACCTCAGCCCTGCCCTCAACCCCCACCCTGCCTGCCCACAGGGCCACTCACCACTTCCAGGGTCCGCTGCAGATCACCCAAGCAGCCCAGCAGCACTATGGCGGTCACGCCCTTTGCCTGCACCCTGCAGTATCAACTGTGCACAATGGGGTGTGAGGGAAGAGTTTTGTCTATGCTGCTTGGCTGCCATGTCCTTGGCTGTGCTGCTCCATGTGGGCCACACTCAGGGGCGACTCTCCTTCAGGGTGGCTTCTGGAGAGGAAGGGGTCGCGGGGGAGGTGAAGCAGGAGCAATGGCATGTGTGCCCACAGAGAGGGCTCTGAGTGCCACCTCTGGCGCCCATGTCATAGGTTCACCACCACTGACCTATACTTTTTCAGACAAGCAACTGTCCAGTCTCCTGTGAAAAATCTCCAGTGATGGAGTACCCACAACTTTTGGGTGTAAGCTGTTCCCCTATTTATTTGTCCTCAGTGTCAGGAAGTTTCTCTTTAATTCCAGGTTGCTTCTCTCTTTGGTCAGTTTCTATCCGTTATTTCTCGCCTGCCCTCTGGTGCTTTGGAGAATAATTTGACCTCACCCCCTCTTCCTTGTGGCAGCCCCCCAAATACTGGAATGCTGCTATCATGTCACCCCTATTTTTTCTTTTCTTTAGACTGGCCAGGCCCAAGAAAGGAAGAGTGGTTGAGAATCATGCAGGGGCAGGACCCCAAAAGAAGTGCACACTCCTGCTGAGCCCTCCCAATTAAGAAGTCCCCAAAAAATGCTCCCTCCCACCATCCAGACCCACCGATTCCACCTCCGGGTCTGGGAGACTCCACATCTTTCTCCCCTCTTTGAGGGCGCTTGTGGGGCAGCATCCAGGGGTTCTGTTGGGCTCCCCCTGATGCTGATGCTGGTGGGAACACTGGCCCGGACCCCTGGAAGCCAAGGGGGGAAGGAGACCCCTGGTAAGGAGGGGGTCAAGAGGGGGAGGAGAGGGGCTGGGGGGAGGATATGGTTGGGAGGAACCCCTGATACTTGTGGGGGGGGGAAGAAAGCTGCTGGATCTCCAGACGTACTTTGGGAAACTGGTCGAGGGTAAGAGTGGTGGAAGTCTGCAAAAGCCTCCATCTCTGCGTGGTCTCCTCCCCCTTTCTACCCACATGCCCCCCTGGGGGACCCAGAGGGACCCGCTCTTTCCCAATTTTAGCTGAGGTGGGGATTCGCAGCCGGGCCCGTCTCTGGCTCCCCTCCCCCCAATATCTGGGTCAGAGTCGGCTGCATCGAAAGAGGAAGGAGGCGGAAAGCGAAAGCGGGAAATTTTCCAACCTGAATCCACACAAAGAAAAAGATGCATTTTAGCAAAAGTATTTTTGCTTCTTCGAAAACTTCACTTTTTCTTCTGAATCTCCAATTTGAGGCTTTGAAGGTCTCTCAAGAGTGGAGCTTCGGTCCCTTCTGGGGGAGACTCTAGATTTGGGGGGGAGACCAAGAACCCCCCACCCTCCATAATCCCTCATTGCTCAGTCGGGACCTGGAAGGGAGGGGAGAACTGAGGGAGGAGGACTTGGGGGGCAGGTCTGAATTGGGGGATCCTTTCAGTCTTGGGGGGCTGCAAGGGGGTGTTTCAGAGCAGCCCTGCAGGGGAGTCTGGATTTCATTTTTTCTTCCCCCCCTCCATGATCCCACCTGCAGGAGGGGAGGCGCAGCCACGCAGCCAGGGGGGACTTGGGGGGTCTCTGAGGCGGCTGATTGAGGAGTCCTTGGGTGCTTCAGACCCACAGAGATGCGTTTCCTGGCCCCGCATTTAAAAAGAGGCCAAATCTCCATCGTGCGTGGGAGCGTCCCACCCTCACGCCTGGGGTCAGTGCCCCCCCCGCCCCTCCCAAAAGCCTCTGCTTGGACCCCCTTCGTTCCTGGAAAAGGGTCTGCCGGGCGGGGGGGGGGAGTTGCCCCCAGCGCTGTGGGGTTTTTGTCCCATTGAAATAGCAGGTCGGTTTTGGTTCAAGAATGGCTGTTGTGGATCTCAATGGAGGAAATCAGAGGGGGGGGGAAAGGGGAAATCCCTTTCTTTCTTTCTTTCTTTCTTTCTTTCTTTCTTTCTTTCTTTCTTTCTTTCTTTCTTTCTTTCTTCCTTCCTTCCTTCCTTCCTTCTTTCTCCCCCCACCTCTCTCTCCCGGGTGCAGTTTGTCCTCTGACTGGATCTGAATCGATTCCTCCTGTCACGCTCCGTCATGGGAACCGGCCGGGAAAAGGGCTCCCTGGTGCATAGTGGCCCTTTCCTGCTCCGTCCCTGGGAGGGGAACCCCTCGCCACCTCGCTCTGGAGGGGGGGAGGAGGAGGAGGGAAACCCTCCGTATCCCAGGGGGAACTTTTTTGCCAGGAGGGGGGGAGGCAAGAAATGGTGACCCCCCCTTGGAAAGATGTTCCTCGGGGAGAGCAGCCTCAAGGGGGGCGAGAACCGGTGGGCTCCCCTGCAGGGGGGTTGTGCGGGGGTGTCCCTGGTGTCTCGGGGGTGGGAGCTTCAATCGGGATCCCTGCCTGGAGGGAGGGGGCAACTGGGACCCCACAGCGGCCAGAGAGAATTCTTTGGATACTCAGATACGAAAAACTAGATTTCCCCCCTAGAAAATCCCACCTGGGCTGCCTCCCCATGACCCCCTCCCCACCTCGGTCCCAACCAACAAAGTGGGGGTCTCTCTCCGTCTTCCTGGGGAGATGTGGGGAGGGAGGGAGGCTCCTGCGGGCTCTCTTGCCCTCGACCCCTTTCCCAAAGTCACGTCTGGGGTCCCAGCGCCCTCCTCTCCCCCTCCACCAGGACCCCTGAGGGTCCCTTCCAGCCCCTCCGCCCCTCCCTCCCAGCCCCTCCTTACCGGGGTTTTCCTTCCCCACTTCGCTTCCAGGAATCAGGCCCAGCGCCGCCCCCCCCCAGCAGCAGCATCAGGGAGAGCCCAGGGACGCCCCCAGTCCCAGAGGCGGAATCGGGGGGGGTCTGGACTAGGGACGGGGGAGGCGTTTTCCTCGGAATTCAGAACTGGAAATGCCCTGAAAGAGAGGAACCAATGGGAATTCTCCCTCCTGCAGCGTCATCGGTCTCCGGGCAGAGTCCTTTGTGACTTCATCCACCGGCAGACAAAGCGAAGGCGATCCTGGGCTGTCGGGAGGGAAGTTTCCCCTCCGTCCCCAGGGAGGCCGCCCTGCTCTCCGCCCTCCCCGGCCCTGGCACCTTTTGGGGGGAAGAGATGGACAGGGGGTGAGTTCGTCTGGAGGGGGGCGAGGGGATCAGGGCCCCGAACAGGGAGGGAGGGAGGGGGCCGCTGGGCAAATATTGCAAGAGTCTCCCCGGGCTTGTGAGGGGCTCAAACGGGCTCCGATCCTGGAGAAAGAGACCCGGAGGAAGCCAGGAGAACCTCCAGCTCCAGCAGCTTCCCAGCCACGGAAGAGGCTCTCCGGGGGAAGCAGGAATTGGGGGTCTCCCAGGGGTCCCCTCCCTCTGGCAGGGCTTGGAGAGATTGAGGAGGGGGTCCTGCCCCTTCCCCTCCCTGGGATCTGCCCACCCTCTTCCCGAACCGGTTCTGGCTTCGGACCTAAACCAGCCGGGATGGTCAATCCAGAGACAGGGGAGGTCTCAATCCGGGGAGTGGGAGGGGAGAAGGGAGGACTCTCTGGGGGGGGGCAGGAAAGAGGAGGAGGAAGAGGAAGGAAGGAATGAAGAAAATTCCAGGGTTTTTCTACAATTTAAAGTTTATTCTTTTATAGCAAAGTGAAGGGAAGAGATTCGTAGGAAGACTAATGGAGATGAAACTGCTGTGGATTTAAAGCCAGAAGATATTTGCGTGTCTGGATTGACAGGCAGGCCCACAGTCCCTGGGGTCAGTCTAGATGGTCTCCACCCCTCCCTCACTAGAAACAGTGGACTTCAAAGGAAAGCCAGGGAAGTCTCAGCAGGAGAAGCTCCAGGCTGCCATTCACCTCCTCTCCCTAATCTAAAATCTTGAGCCTCCATTTTTCAGAGGTTGCAAAAAGTCAGAAATTCTGTCAGCTAATGAAAAAAAATCAGGAATCAGGAAGGACGGCAGATTAATTCATGAGTTCTGTAGAAAAAGAGACGGGAAAGAAAATTAGAATACAAAGTGAAACCTTCAGTGTAAATAACTTATTATTCCTCTCTTTCAGCTGCCCCCCCCACAGGCCCACACTGCAGGGGGGTGGTTGAATGGCAGACACAGGATGGAGGGAGGCTCCGCCCCTTTCAGGGATCAAAAGGAGGCAAAGGACCAGTGATTAATCTCCCAGGGCTCATGGAATTTTCCTCAAATGATTTAATTAGGGGGTTGATCAAGAGATGAGGCCTCCCCCCCCCCACAGACTTTTCATATCGACAAAGAAGATGGGGCCAGGATGGGGCGTGGCAGCAAAGCCGGGTGTCACTTTGCCAGAAATTGCTTGAAATGACACAAGGAGACTTCAATTTACAAATGTTAAAGAAACATCTATAACTTGGGGAGAAACTCACCTGCAGGAGGCTGGATGGGAGTTGCTGGAAGGAGAAAAAGACCCAATCAGGACCCTTCATAGGCTGGAGCACTCAGGGTTTCTCCCTCCCCATCAATAGCCCATAATAGTTTGCAGGATGCTCAGTTATGCAGTAGACTCTCAAAGAACAGAATTTCCCAAGCAAATCTCCAAGGGGGCCTCCTTGCCATCTGCTAAGCTTGCTGAGAGGCCTCCCCTGGATGGTCCCCTCCCCACAATCTCTCATCCAGCCCCCAGACTCACCTTTCTTGCTCTTCAGGTGGAGGGAGAGCCCCATGGCAAAGAAGATCACCCCGATCACGGCTGCCACGATCCCCGTCCAGAGTTTGCTCCTGGCCGAGTTGGAGGATCGGGGCTCTGGGGAAGGAGAAGGAGCCCCCCCTGAGCAGGAGGATCAGGGCCAGCTTCCCCCACCCCAGGAGGGTCCATCCCAGCTCCCCCCACAGGGAGGGGCTCTCCTCCCTTCTAAGGGCAGGAGGGGATCCCCAGAGGGGGAGGGGAGGGGCTCACCCCATTGGACGGTGATGGGGGCTTCCAGGCTGGCATGCTCCACTTGGCAGGTGTAGACATCCCCCCGCTGGGGCTGGGTCTCCAGCATCACCTGGAGCTGGTAGGTCCAGTCTCCGTTCTGGAGCTCCTCCCCGAAGGCCACGCCCTCCTCCTCCGGCCGCCCGTTCTTCAGCCACCGGACCTCGATCTCCACGGGGTAGAAGCCCCTCGCGATGCAGAGGAGGATGGTGTTAGGGGAAGTGGGATCCAGCTTGGTGGGGGAGATGGAGACGGTGGGCTTGGCTGGAGGGAAGGAGGTGGAGGAGGGACACGGGGGAGGAGACACAAGAGGTAAATATTTCTATAGCAATAAAACTGGAACTCCCAATCAAGATAAAATTATAGTTAAAAGATGGGGGGCAGGAAACAGGATGCATGGAGGGGGAGGGGAGATTTCCTCTTAATTCAACAACCACCCCCAGTGTGATTCTACCCCAGGGGGGCTCCAGCTCAACTGGGAGAGTCGGGAATCTGAGTTTGTCTGGGCCTCAGATGGAACTCGTGGTTCCCCACTGCTCCCTTCCCTCTATGCGGATGTGGTGCCTTTGAGGGCTACTCTCTGAGTAAGGCTTGTCAGCCAGCTACAGATCCATCTGGGGGTGATGCCGTCTATCCCAGTTTTTTCTAGCTTATCAAGAAGTAGGTTGGGGTCTCCTCTGTCCAAGGCCTGGTGAAATCTAAGTATGCTACTCTCAAGGCAAAGGAAACACTAGACCAGGATTCTGCTTGATTGGGGTTTACATCTTAGTTTAAAGCCTGGGTGATGATTATAAATTTGAACTGGCTTCCTTTATGTGGTTTTGGGATTTAAACCTACAAAGGAGGCTGAATAAAGAAGAAGGCATAAAAAGAAGTAAAACGGTGAAGGGAAAGGGCACAGCAGATGAACGAGCCTTCACTCATTCCCTTTTCCAGACTTTTGGAAGATAATTTTTTATCCTGGGCATCAGAGGTGACGGGAGCCCTCCCCCCTCCTGACCTTCCAGAAAGGGGTCGAAATGGGGCTCAGGGGCTTTGCTTGGGGGGCACAGAGGAGGAGGCAGCTGTGGGGCTGGTCAGCATCCTGACTCCCCCCTCCTCCTTGAATTAAATTTTACCACTGGATTTTAATCATTCTTGCCTTTTGGATCTTAAATTGCATAGACTATTTTTGTGGTGTGCTATTTTATCTGCACAGCACCCAAAGTCCCTCTGTGAGAGAGGACGGGGGGGGGGTTTAAAAAAATAAATAAATAAATAAATGGTAAAGAAATACATCTACATCCTGGGCAAGGGGGAGAGACCTAGCTGGATTCCTCCTTCTGTCTCCCCCCCCCTTGCAAAAAAATATAATATTTGGAAGGATTTTCTGGAGGGAACTTTTTCTGGGCAGGAAAAACTTTGGACCTTGGGAAGAGAAGGAAGATTATGTGACTGATGGGAAGGAAGCAGATCTATTTCTTCCCTTTTGATGTTTAATTGTCATTATTATAGAATTTCAAACTTTTTAATGATAATTTAAGTTTCAACCTTCTTTTTAATACATTTTTTTCATTTATGGGTTATAATTTATAATTCCCTTTTGATGTTTAATTGACATTGCAACAAGCTTCTTGTGGTGCAGCCCTTGTTATCTTGTGGCTTGCCAAGAGACGCAGGTGGGAGGGGGGATCAATCCGAGGTGTTTGGACCAGTTTAGTCTGGCAAGGAAGGTCCTGCTGGATTGTTCCTAGCAGAGGAAGGATTTCTCTCACAACAATTATCTGGACTTGTGTGTGTGTGTGTGTGTGTGTGTGTGTGTGTGTGTGTGTGTGTGTGTGTGTCGTTCTCTCAGGGGGAGGGGGAGTTCCTACATTTTTAATATGAGCCAAGGTGGCGCAGCAGTTAGAGTGCAGTACTACAGGCCACTTTAGCTGACTGTGTTCAGCAGGTCAGCGGTTCAAATCTCACCGGCTCAAGGTTGACTCAGCCTTCCATCCTTCCGGGGTAGGTAAAATGAGGACTCAGATTGTTGGGGACAATGTAAATATATGTATATACATTGCTTACTGGTGTACACCGCTTAGAGAGTGCTTGCACTTAAAGCGGTATATAAGCCTCATAAATAAATAAATAAATAAATAAATACATTGCTTACTGGTGTACACCGCTTAGAGAGTGCTTGCACTTAAAGCGGTATATAAGCCTCATAAATAAATAAATAAATAAATACATTGCTTACTGGTGTACACCGCTTAGAGAGTGCTTGCACTTAAAGCAGTATATAAGTCTCATAAATAAATAAATAATCTGTCCTTCTGGCCCCAAAAGGCCAGAGCTGGTTTCCAACTCCTTCCGTGAGGGGATTCTCTGCCCAGGAAAGTTCTGCATTCGGGAGGGGAAGGTCTCCCGTCTGCTTCCTTCCTTGGGATCTTCAGCCGGAACCAGGACACCTTGTTATGTAATCCCACCTTTTCTAACTGTGATTTAAATTTTAACCTTATCTTTATTCAAGGGTTACGTTCTATCCCACACACACCCCCAGAGCCCCTCTTTGGGGGAGGGAGGGGGCGGTTTAGAAGGGCCCATCAATAGCGACAGATAGAAATGAATACATTTCCTGGATTTGAGAGAATGTATATAAGGAGGGAATCTTTCTCCGAGAGAATCCTAATAAGTGAAAGGAAGGGGGGGGTCCCTGCATTCCCCTCCCCATGGAACTCCCCCTCCCGCACTCACCTCTCCGGCCCACCATCTGACCGGTCTTGGCTGTCTCGTAGTTGTGCCGGCAGAAGGAATCCACTTTGGCCTTCTTGATCTGCAGGAGGACCTTATCGCTGTTCCACTTGTCCACAGCGGGCTGCCCCAACGGAGTGACGGCCACGTATTTCCCGCGGTCACTGTCGAAGTAGGCGATCTCCTGCCGGTCGTAGATGTACCAGATCAGGAGTCGCACCCGCTGCGTCCCGTTGAGGAAGCGGCACTCGAACTTCCACTGGACCAGGAAATGGGCTGCAGGGGGGAGGAGGAGGAGGGGAGGAGGGTCGTCAGGAGGGACTCCAGGACCCATCGTTCCCAGCCGCTAGCAAAGGAGGGACCCATACGGGAAGCGAGATGAGGGGGAGGCCTTCCTTGAGAGACAGGCGGAAGGCGCCCCCTGGAGGAGAGAGGGGGAACTCTCTCAGTGTCAGCAGGAGGTAGATTTGCTGGGGGGGTCTGGTGGGGGAGGGGAGGAACTTCTTGCTGGACTCCTCCATCCTCCCCGGGTAGAAAAAGGCAGGCAGAAGCTCAACTGGTCTAGCAGATCTACTCTCTGTAGAGAACTTTGGATCTAAAGGGGGAGGAATTATTGGGGGACGGGGCTGAAGAGATCTCCCGAAACTTTCTGGGGTGGATGGAAAGTAAGATCCCTACCCCCCACTCTCTCTCTGCCTTTGGGGGGGGGCGGGGAATATGGGGAAGGGGGCAGAATGAGTGACACTCGGAGGGGTCCCAGCCCTTCAACCGCCCACCTTCCCTGGCTCCCCCCAACTTGTCTTTTACCCCCCAATCTTCAGCCCAACTCCCTCCCTTGGGATGATTTTCGAGATTCAGACTTGTTTCTTCTCCCCCTCCCCAAAAGCCCCCCTGCAGCTCCCCAAGAGCATCTCAAAGGGAGGGTCTCCAGCCCCCCTCACGATAGGATTGTTTGGGGGAGCCATAGGGGGCAATTCAGAGCCCCCCAAAATCTCTTCTCTCACTTCCCCCCCTCCCTCCAGGTCCCGATAGAGCAATGGGGGATTATGGGGTGGGGGTTTCTTGGCCTCCTCCCCAAATTCAGAGCCTCCCCGGAAGGGAAAGAAGCTCAATTCTGGCCTGACTTTGAAAGCCTCAAATTTGAGATTTGGGAAATAAAATTGAAGTGTTTGAAGAAGCAGAAATACTTTGGCCAAAATGCAGCTTTTTCCTTGTGTGGATTCAGGTCTGAAAATGCCTCAGTTTCCCTCTTTCGCTTTCCCTCCCCTTCCTCTTTCCACGCAGCCGACTCCGACCCAGCCACTGGAAGGGCGAGAGAGGGGCCCGGCTGCGACACCCCACCTCGGCTACAATCGGGAAAGAGGGGATCCCTCTCTGTCCTCTGGGGGGGGGAAGGGGGGAGAGAACGGGGAGGAGACCACGCAGAGATCGAGGGTGTTGCCGGCTCCCGTCACTCTTACCCTCGACCCGTTTCCCAAAGTCACGTCTGGAGACCCAGCAGCTTTCTTCCCCCCTCCCCCACGAGCATCTGGGCTGCTTCCCAACCATATCCTTCCCCCAGCCCCTCTCCTCCCTCGACGAGCCCCCTCCTTACTGGGGGTCTCCTGCCCCCCTTCGCTTCCGGGGATCCGGGCCAGCGCTCCAACTACCAGCAGCAGCAGCATCAGGGGGAGCCCAGCGGAGCCCATGGACGCCGCCCCACAAGCGCCCCAGAGAGACCAGAGACGGAGACGCGGAGGCTCCCAGCCCCAGAGGCGGAATCGGGGGGGTCTGGATTGGGGGAGGGGGAGGAGGCGTTTCCCTCGAACTTCGGACCTGGGCGGGCCCAGGAAAGCGGAGGGACCAATGAGAAGTCTCCCTTGTGCAGCGTCATCGGTCTCCGGGCAGAGCTTCCCTTGACTTCGCCCGATGGAGGAGATAGTTCGGCGCAGAGAGAGAAGCTGAGAAAGTTGGGAGGGGGGGGGATTTTATGGGGGGAGGAATCAGCCCTGGGACCCCCTCCCAATAATCGACCCTCTTGAGGTCGGCTCCGTTCCTCTGGGTGGGAGTGGGAGGGAATATTTTGCCCAAAGAAGAAGAAGAAGAAATCCATATCCATGGACGGGATGTATAAGAGGATCCGCGCAGGTTTTCTCCCTTGTGAAAGATCTCAATGCTATTTTAAGAAGGAGGGAGGGAGGGAGGGAGGGAGGGAGGGATGGATGGGTGGGTGGATGGATGGATGGAGGGATGGACAGCATATTAAACAAAAGAATAAATTTATAATTTATAAAATAACCCGGAAAGTTAATAGAAATTCTGTGGACTTCAATAATTCTATATCCTCAAGTGTAGGATTACACCTTAACCATTAAAGTCTGAAAACTCCCCCCCCCCCCAAAAAAAAAAACTATCCAAAAAACCAGACATTCTTTTTTTAATGTTTCACTACATCCATGGAAACCATTTTTTCTACGACATTCGGGTTGTGGTTAGTTACTCAAAGGCGGGTCAGGCCCATCCTGAATTCCCGATTCTGTTCAAAAGGGCTTTGGGGGTCCAGAGGGGGCCTGAATCCTTCCAAAGGATGGGGGAGGGGTCTGGAAGGGTCACACTCCCCCCTGGCCCAGCACCAGCCCCGCAGGCCGGAGCCGGGTCCCCCCCCCCGCAGCTGAAGGAGGCTGCACCTCAGTTGTGTACATCCACCCAGTCGCCCAAAATGGGTCCCAGATCCAGGCAGCGTCTGGGGGGGGGGGGGCTCCATCGCTCGCCTGATCAAAGCAGAACTCCTGGACTCTTTTCATGTTTCCCCAGGAAGATTTTGATTTTTTCTGAGTTCCTCCTGCCACCCCAGCCCTCCACCCCCCACACACACACACAAACACACAGAGGAACTTTGTTTGTTTCCACAACCCACAACAGCTGGAGAAGTGCTGGAGTCCCGCTTCCCCCCCCCCGCCCCCGCCCTGGAGCGCTGGGCTCCCCCGAAGCCGAACCGAGGAACCGGCCCTGATCCAGCAGGCAACAAGCCCGGATTCTTCCCCGGGGCAGCTCCGGGACTCTCCCGCTTCTCCCCAAGGCTGAGTCTCCCCCTCGGTCCTCTGCCCTCCCCCCTTGAAGCGGTGGAGGGGCCCCTCCCGACCCCCGAGGAGACCCCGGGCAGCCCAGGGAAGAAACCGAGGGAGGGCTGGAGAAACGAGGCCAAAAGGACCCGAAGGCTCCGATTCTCGATTCTCCTCCTTCACACGTTACGGGGAGACTCGGCTCTGGGGGGGGGGAGGTTGAAGGGGCTCTGATGCCGGGAAAGGTGGAAGGAGAGAGAGGGAAAGGAGGAGAAGCAGGGAGGGGGAGGGGCTCAGTTGCAGTGGGGGGAGGGGGATGCTGAGGGAGGACCTGGAGGAGTGGGGGGAGGGGCTCCCCAGAGAAAGTCTATCCATGGGGGGGGGGTTAAAGGTGGACACCAACTTGATGGCACAAACGATCTTTAGCCCATCTGCTTAAAGGAGATCTCCCGTCTTTTGCCCACCAGTTAAAGCGCTGGGGATGGTGATGACTTCACACCAGTTCATTTCATGGCTGTTCAAAAACCCGACTCTTCGCCTAATATTTCTTCTTTTTATTTTTTTTATTGTTTTTAATGTTTTTTTAATAATTTCATGTATATACCTGTGCTTAGCTTTGTGTATCCAACTGAATCACTTGTTGTGAGATGGGTGGTTATATAAATTTGATAGCTAGATAATTTAGAAGGGGTGGTAGAGAGATAGATAGAGATGATAGATAGATGATAGAGAAGAAAGAAGAGATAGATGATAGAAATAGATAGATAGATAGATGATAGATAGATAGATAGATGATTGATAGAGAGAGAGAGATGGATAGATGAGAGAGAGATGAGACAGAGAAAGAGAGATAAATAGATATATAGACAGACTGACAAGATAGAGAGAGATGTAGATAGACATAAAGAGATGAGAGAGATGAGGGGGTGGCAGGCAGAGAAAGAGGGAGGGAAGGAAAGAGAGAGGGGGATAGAGAGATAGAGATGATAGATAGATGAGAGAGAGATGAGAGAAAGAGGATAGACAGACAGACAGAGATAGATAGATAGACAGAGAGAGAGAGAGAGATATAAGATAGAGAGGGAGAGATGTAGATAGACACAAAGAGATGAGAGAGATAAGAGAGAGAGAGAGAGAGAGAGAGAGAGAAATCCTGGGAATTCCAGACCGCTTCATCCCAGGACTAGCCTGGACTGGCCTTGCAGAGTTGCTGAGATCAGCCCTGCTGAGGGAGGGATTTTCACCTGCTGACGGGGAGTCTTTCCTCTCCAGATCATCCGAAAAGCCCTTGTGGAAGAGAGAAAATAGCGTATCTGAGACAAGACTCAAATGAAGGAGCTGCTGCTTCTTTACCCGTCATATAAAGTGTTTGATTTCATCTTCCAAAATACCTTCTCTTTGTGGCACACTGATCAAAATGGGGGAAATAATCAAATTAGTCAATTCCCATTTTAAAAAGCATGCTTTCAAACTGGTGCAAACAATGGCAAGAACACTGGATTAAAAAAAAAAAAACCAATGTAAGGCAGAGTTAGGGGGGTCTTATGGGGAACAGAAGGAGACAATTGTTCCTAGGCAGTAAAAGGAGGGAAAGAAAGGGAGCAAATGGATCAGTCTCTAAGGAAGGATTTGGCCCGAAGGTCGGGAGTCTCCTGGCCTTTCTCCACATTTGATTTCAGTGCCCAGGGGAGGCGCCCCAAATGGGAATCACCCAGAATCTGCTGTGCAAAAATGTAACTGTAATGGAATAATACAGCTGGAAGGCACCTTGGAGGTCCTCTAGTCCAGCCCCCTGCCCGTGCAGGAGACCCTATACCACTTCAGACAAATGGCTGTCCAGTCTCTTCTTAAAAGCCTCCAGTGATGAAGCCATCACAACTTCTGGAGGCAGGTAGTTCCATTGATTAATTGTTCTCACTGTTAGGAAATTACTCCTTAAATCAGCGGTTCTCAACCTGTGGGTCGGGACCCCATTTGGGGTCGAACGACCATTTCACGGGGGTCACCAAACAACGCAGTCTGCCATTTTTCCCCCTTTTCCTTAGCTGTGCTCCTCCCTTTTATTCTATTGGCTTTTGGAAGCCAATAGAATAGACTCTCTTGAATAGAGTCTACTTCTATTGGCTTTCTATTGGCCAATAGGAATTGTTCAGGCTGTGTCTGCCCTACTGAGCCCGCCAAAAGTCCCTGTCTACAAACGGTGCTGCACCAGTTGAGTCATCCTCGACTTACGACCGGTTGAGTCGTCCTCGACTTACGACTGGTTGGGGGTCGCGGCATTAAAAAGGTTGAGAACCACTGCCTTAAATCCAGATCTTCCATCCACTGCTTCTCGTCCTGCCTTCAGGGGCTTTGGAGAATAGCTTGACTGCCTCTTCTTTGGGGCAGCCCCTCAAATATTGGAAGACTGCTATCATGTCCCCCCTCGTCCTTCTCTTCGTTAAACTAGACTTACCCAATTCCAGCAACCGTTCTTCGTATGTTTTAGCCTCCAGTTCCCTGATTATCTTTGTTGCTCTTCTCTGCTCTCTTTCCAAAGTCTCAGCTTCTTTTTTTACATCATGGCGACCAAAACTGGTTGCGATATTCCAAGTGTGGCCTTACCAAGACCTTGTAAAGTGCTATTAAAACTTCAAGTGATCTCAATTCTGTCCCTCTGTTAAGGCAGCCTAGGACTCTTAGGGAGATTTGAGTCCAGTGGGGCTGACCCCCTACTTCCCTTCTCTACTTTATGGGGGACAAAGTTGTCTGCTACCTTCATCAGGAGCCTGCTGGATCTCCCACTAGATGCAAAAAACTGTCTCCCAGTTGATGTCAGGGTGGTCAAAGTTCCCCATTGCTATTTTGCTCTGCTTTCTCCATGCCTTAGCTAACTGATTAAGAAAAAGTTCATCTATTTCTTCTGTTGGGTTGGGGGGCTTTATAGTACACACCAATGGTGATGTCGTTCTGTTTTCCCTTTTTTAATCCAAATGCTTTCAAGGAGATTTTTGTCTTTGTTCGGTAGCATTTCTATAGTTATGTCTTATATACAGTGCAACTCCACCTTTTATTAAGTCTGTTTCTTTTCAACACTTTAAATATTAAGATACTAAATTTAGTAGATGGAACAGTAAAATGGACAATGGGCCGGGACACAGAGTTCTAGTTGATTGGTTGGAGAGTGCTGGCTCCTGTATGAGGTTATCTACCCTATGATTGGTTGCTGTGGGTGTAAAGGGGGCGTTTCCCTTTTCCCCGCCCTTTTCTTCTGTGTGCTCCGTCTGCTGATTGGTTTATCTCATGATGTTCCTGTGTTCCTGATTATCTTTTCTGCTGTGAATATAAATGCTAAATAGATTTATGTAACACTACAAGTTTCTGTCATTTTGACAGCTGCTGTGCAATATAAATGTTATATATATTGATGTAAAACTAAAAGTTTGTGTCAGTGTCTCCCACTTCATTTGAACAGCTCCTGTGCAATTCCTCCACATTAAATCTCTTAAGTTGTGCCTTCCGATCGTGGGTTTCATTCCACTGAGTTTCGATGATTGCAACGTCATACCTACCTTTGGGTTTCAAGCTCTCCCTTTTTTATTCCTTGTACTTTGAGGATTGGTATAGAGGCATCTGATTCCCTTTTGACTGACCCTGTGTTTGGTTTCCACTTCCCCTCTTTTTGTGTCCGAGTTCTCCCTTTTCCTTTCCATTTGGTTGATTGCCCAGATATTTGTGCTTGGAATTAACTTCTAAAAAATCCATCTCTCTCCCCCTTCAGTTTCAGTTTAAGACCCTTCAGATAGGACAAGCCAGTTAGCTTCCGAAGACGACATTCTCAGTTCTTGTGAAGTGTAGCTCATCTCCTGCCAGAAGCCCCTCATGTAAGTATTGTAGACCATAGTCCAAGAATCCGAAGTTCTCTCGACAGAACCATCCTCTAAGCCAGGAGTTGATTTCAAAGGCTGTGCGTATCCTCATTGGATGCTGACCTTTATTGGGAGTATAGAAGGGGACACCACCTGTGCTCCCATCTCTTTGGCTTTGATCCCTACCTGCTCATAATCTCTTGATATTGTTTCCAGGGATTTTGTGTATCATTCATCCCCACATGAAAGAGGAGAAAAGAATAATAAAATAATCTGTGGATTATTTTTAGTAAGCCTCTCACTCACATCTTTGATAGTTGTTCCTGGGAAACAGCTAACTGCTAGTCTGACTGTCCATTCGACAAATTGCTGGTTCAGTTCCTCTGAGCAATGAATCCTCAATCACCAACACAGGCCTTTGTTTATCTTAAGGAAGTCTGGTCTGATTTTTTTTTCTGCAATTGATACATTTGCCCTTGTCCCTTTTCCAGGTCCCTGCAGGCCCTCTTCCGGGGGGGGGGGTATTACTGACAGGAGTCCAAGTCTTCCCTGTGTTTGAGACTGTTCCTCCACTGACTATTCTTTATGTGCCCCAGATGAGGAATGGGAGGGGAAAAAATCAGCCCTTGGAGATCGAAGCCACGGGAATCCTGCAGAAGCAGTCTGGATGGCTTCTGGAGGGGGCAAGGCTCAGTGGGAGAGCTATCTAGGGGCATCTAGGGGTGCTGGGGAGAAGGGAGGGGCCTTCCACTCAGAGTTGCCCCCTTGATCTTTCCTCTCCCCCGCAGAGCTGCTCCCCCTCCCCCCTGATGGCAAATGTCTCCTACACCAGGAATGGCTTCGGCTGGACTTTCTGCTCTGGCCCAAAGGGGCCCTGGGGAAGACACCCTTCCCAACACCCCCTGCCCAGGAGCCCTCAGACCAGGGAGATGGACATCAGGGCGACCTTCCCAGAGATCAAGGCCATTGGCCACAGGACCACTCAGGGCCTTTTCTCGGGGGGGGGTCTCAGATGAGCTCCGGTTGGGGGCCACATGAGACTCGCCCAGGACTCTCTGTGTTGAAGACCCTCTGCCCAGAGGGAGGGGGCTTCAGACCCGAAGGGAGGAAGGGCTGTGGGGCGGCAGTGGCGATAGGTGGGCAGTCCTGGAAAAGGCCTCTGGGGTCTCAGGTGGAGGGAGGGAGGCATTGGGTGCCAAAATGGGGCAGGACCCTCCAGTTGTGAAGGAGAGAAAATGGCAGAAATGGCTGGGTGAATCTAGGGGGAGTCTCAGGTGTCCCCCAATGGCTCCCCTCAAGTGCTTGAAGGGGACCACGCCTCCTGGCATCCTGGTCCTCAAAAGGAGGCTTGAGGAGAAGCAGAGCAAGGGGGCCCCCAAGCAGGAGGGGAGTCCTGTCCGTTCCTCTCCCTGGATCTGCCAACCCTCCTCTCAAACCAGTTTTGACTTTAGACCTGAAGTAGCTGGGATGGTTGATCCAGAGGCAGGGGAAGTGTCAATCTGGGGAGGGGAAGGGGAGAACGGAGGACCCTCTTGTGGGGGAGAGGAAAGAGGAGGAGGAAGAGGAAGGAAGAATTCCAGGATTTTTCCTACAATGTTTATTCTTTTATAGCAAAGCGAAGGGAAGGGATTTGGATGAAGAGTAATGAAGATGAAGCTGCTGTGGATGTAAAGCAGGGAGAGATTTGGCTGTCTGGACTGACAGGAAGGCCCAGAGTCCTAGGGATCAGTCGAGATGGGCTCCACTGCTCCCTCACAAGAAAGAGAGGCCTTCAAAGGAAAGCCAGAGTGGTTTCAGCAGGAAAAGCTCCAGGCTGCCATTCTCCTCCTCCCCCCAATCTAAAATCTTGACCCTCCATTTTTCAGAGGTTGCAAAAGAGAGACAGAAATTCATCAGCTAATGGAAAAAAGCCCCTTCCTTTCCCAACAGGAAGCAGGAAGGACAACAGAATTAATTCATGAGTGCTGTAGAAAAAAAGAGATGGGGAGAAAATTAGAAAATAAAGTGAAGCCAGTGTAAATAGCTTATTATTCCTCTCTTTCAGCCACATCCCCAGACAGGCCCACATTGCAGGGGGGTGGTTGATTGGTAGGAACAAAGTGAGGGAGTGTCCCCCCCTTTTTTTTCAAAGAGGAAAAGGATGCAAGGGACCAGCAATTCATCTCCAGGGGCTTATGGAATTTTTCCCAATTGACTTAACTGGGGGGGGGGTTAATCAAGAAAGGAGGTCTCCCTCCCCCCAGACATTTCATATTAACAAAGAAGATGGGGCCAGGATGGGGAGTGGTAGCAAAGCTGGGTGTCACTTTTCCAGAAATTGTGTGAAATGTCACAAAGAGACTTCCCTTCTCTTTTGCAATTTCCCAAAACCTGGAAACTTCTTGGGGCACATTTTAGTGTTTATGTCCCTGTGTGTGTTTGTTTTCGATTGCACTGTTTTCAGGTCTCTGAAAGGAAAAGCTGTCCAAAATTTGAAAAATTTTGTTATCTACAGCTAGGAGGTTTTGTTCAGGCACGTTTTTTTTTTTTTAAGGAATAATTAACGAATGTTAAAGAAACATCTATAACTTGAGGAGAAACTCACCTACAGGAGGCTGGATGGGAGTAGCTGAAAGGAGAAAAAGAGCCAATCAGAACCCTTCATAGGCTGGAGGACTCAGCCCCCCCCCATCGATAACCCATAATACGTTGCAGGATGCTCACTTATACAGTAGACTCTCAGAGAACAGAATTTCCCAAGCAAATCTCCAAGGGGGCCTCCTTGCCATCTGCTAAGCTTGCTGAGAGGCCTCCCCGGGATGGTCCCCTCCCCACAATCTCTCATCCAGCCCCCCAGACTCACCATTCTTGCTCTTCAGGTAGAGGGAGAGCCCCATGGCAAAGAAGATTACCCCGATCACGGCTGCCACGATCCCCGTCCAGAGTTTGCTCCTGGCTGAGTTGGAGGATCTGGGCTCTGGGGAAGGGGAAGGAGCCTCCCCTGAGCAGGAGGATCAAGGCCAGCTTCCCTCCCAGGAGGGTCCATCCAAGTTCCCCCACAGGAAAGGTCTCTCCCCCTTCTCAGGGCAGGAGGGGGGTCCCCAGAGGGGGAGGGGAGGGAGGGGAGTGGCTCACCCCACTGGACGATGATCGGGGCCTCCAGGCTGGCATGCTCCACCTGGCAGGCGTAGATGTCCCCCCACTGGGGCTGGGTCTCCAGCATCACCTGGAGCTGGTAGGTCCAGTCTCCGTTCTGGGGCTCCTCCCCAAAGGCCACGCCCTCCTCCTCTGGCTGCCCGTTCTTCAGCCACCGGACCTCGATCTCCACGGGATAGAAGCACCTCACGATGCAGAGGAGGATGGTGTTAGGGGAAGTGGGATCTAGCTTGGTGGGGGAGATGGAGACGGTGGGCTTGGCTGGAGGGGAGGAGGGGGAGGGGGAGAAGGGACATGGGGGGGGAGACATAGGAGGGACCAGAATAGGAGACCAAGTTGGTTAGTTCAGGCCAAGAGCCCTTTTCAGTCCTGAAAATAGTATTTGTTTTAAGTCATTTCCAAAGCAAATTGCAGCAAGAAATTAAATGGGATCCTGAAAGATGGAAAAACATAAATCGTTCCTGGTTGGGATCAGTTTCCATCATCAAATTGCACAAGTCCAACAGGAATAAATACTGGAAATGCCCCGGAATGGAAGGAATTTCCTGCCAGATGTTTGGGAGACAGAAAGAGACCCAGAAGACGGGGAAGACACACAGCATGTTTTGGAGAATTGCAGGGATCCCATTCAAAAGAAAACCACATTTTTAAAAAAATAGGTAGAATACTGGAACATTTATTTATTTATTAAATTTGTTTGCCACCATCTCCTGATAAAATGACTCTAGGCAGCTTAGAGCAGGGCTTTTCAACTGGTGGTATGTGTACCACCTGTGGTACATGAGTACATGACAGATGGTATGCTGCCCTGTCCAGCCAAGCGTAGTGGGGGAGGGACTGAGCCAGCACAGGCAAGGACTTACTGTGAGAGAGTCCTCTGGAGCTGCAGAGTGGCTGGGGCGAGGCAAAGGCCTCAGCTCACTTCCAGTTCACCCCCCTCTCCCATGAGAAAGGAGGAGGAGGGTGCGGAGACAGGAGAGGCTATAAAAGGAGGCAGTTTGGGTCGGGAGAAGGAGAGAGAGGAGGTGGAGTCAGCTCTAGCTGCACAGAATGGAAAGAAGGAGGGTGGGGAGAGAGGAGAGGAGATCAAGCAGGCCGGCCACAAGTGGATCTACAACTTCTGTGGCAGCCACCTGTGCTGGCAATAACCAAGAGGCAAGGAACATAGGGAGGAGGGGTTGCTCTCCACAAGGAATGAAGAAAGGCTGGAGGTGAGGCAAGGAGGGAGATGGAGAGTGGAAGGATTCTTTTGTGCTTTTGTGACTTTGAAGTTCTGGGATTTGTGCAATGGGGGCTTTGTTTTCTTAAGGAATGTTTGGCAATTTCTATTTGGCTGATGGCTGATGTCTCGTGTTAACTTCCACTGCTCTGCTATTGTTAGGTGTAACATTTGCTGCAAGGGATTTTGAAGTATTTTTCTCCTGAATGGATTTTGCCTGTAGCAGTCCTTTACTTACGAATGGAGCCATCTGGGGAGGCCATACTTACTACATTTTTTTTCTTTCTTTAGTGCGCACTGGACTCCTTAACTTTCCTTTCTAACCAGTAGCTAATTCTTAAAGGGGAATGCGCCTTTTTAAGCTAGTTTCCTCAATGGCTTGTCTTTTCTGTCTCTGGAGGCTTTTCCTTGTTCAATGAATACATGGAAGAAGGGAAATAGGAAGGGGGTCAAATTCTTCCTTCAGAAGGAGATGGGAATGAGAAAGAGGGAGGCAGGGAAGGAGGGAGGGAGGGAAGGAAGTCCTGCCTTAGCACTTGGCCAACTGCCAATGACTTTGCTTGTCAAGAGGTTGCCAAAGGGGATCACATGACCCTGGGACACTGTGACCATCATAAATATGAATCCGTTGCCAAGCATCCAAATATAAATCACGTGACTTTGGGCATCCTGCAATGGTCGTAAGTGTGAAAAATGGTCATAAGTCATTTCAGTGGAATTGCAACTTTGAACAAGGTTTTTTTTTTTTGGTCATCAAGTGTTTGACACCTTGCTAGGTGGTACTCAAATATTGCCATATATCCTAAAAGTGGTACAGTCGGTGAAAAGGTTGAAAAGCCCTGGATTACAGCATTAGAACGTTAAAGTCCTAACAGATAAATATTTCTATAGCAATCAAAATGGAATTCCCAGTCAAGATAAAATTATAGTTAAAAGATGGGGAGGAACAGGAGGTGTGAGGGGGGAGGGGGGATTGCCTCTGAATTCAACAACTACCTCCAGTGTGAGGCTCCCCATTGGGATCCCCTGATTTTGAGCCAGACTTCGCCTAATCTGTACTTGAACCTTTGGTTTTTTTCTGCCCAGGTTCCCCCCCCAACCTCTCCCTGCAGCTTCCGGCCTCCCTCCCAGCCCCATTTCCCTGGGGAAGGAGGTGGGGAGGGGTCCCACCCTCCTGCCTGGGATGGGGGGGCAGGGAGGGGTCTAGGACAACTCAGCCAACTCAACGCGGCACAAAAGTTACACAATAAGGAAGAAATGGAGAAAGAGAATCAGGAAAGGAAGGAGGCTGAGGGAGGAGGAAAATGCAATGTGAAGGACAAAAATTTAAAAAACATTTTAAAAATTATTTTAAATAATTAAATAAAATTGTTGAATTGTCCTGCAGTGAATTGCCCCATTCTAAGCAGGGAGGGGGGAAAGGATCTGGGGAGGGGATCTTGAGGTAAGGGAGGGTGGGGGCTGAGGAGATCAGGCAGATCCCAAGATCACAGAAGAGACTTGGAAGGGATCCCTCTTGATCTCCTCCTCCGCAAATGGCACAACTCTTGGGTGGATTAATGGGGGGGAGGGCTGGGTGACCCCCCCCAAGAGGGTCCTTCTTAGATCCACTCCAGATCAGAGAACCTTTGCTAGCAACGTTTTTCTCCGTTGAGGGATTCTCTTATGAACAGCTCATTATATAAAGTTTAAGAACATGCAATTTTTAAAGGTTTGGTTATTTGTAATTGAATCCTGGGATCTGGCTGGGATTTTTTTATGAACAGTTAATTATCCTCCTAGGTTTTCAGGGAAGAATTTAGGAGTAAAAATGAATTCCAGACTGAATATACAGAGAACAAAATCTGTGTCAGTTCCCCTTAAATATTACATAACTTCTGGAAGGAAATTTCTCTTGGGATCTGGCGGTTTTTCTCTCGTGGAAGAAAGATCTTATTTAATTCTTTGGTAGCCTATTATTTTGGGAGACCCTGGCAACAACAAATGGCAACAACTGCAGATGAAACACTTGTTTTGCACTATGAAACCTTTTCGGCTGATAGAAATAAATAAGGTTTTTTAATATAAACAAATAAAACTAGACCAACAAACATAGGCAATTTGCCAGGAATCTGGAACAGGGAACTAAACAATCTGAGGCTTCATGGCTGAATGAAGGCCTGACATTCAGTTTTAATGTTTGTGGGGTTTTTTTGAATCTTTGCCCCCAAATGAGGAACCTTCCCAGATACGAAGAGGGAAGCGATTCGGCTGCAGGTGAAGCTGAGTCTCTGACCAAAAAGGGGGTTTCAAGGGGGGCTTTTCTCCCAGACCCCCAACATTGGATGAACAACTGACTCTGAATAAAGGATAAAAAGAACTGAAAGACGGACAGGGCCCAGCAGAGGAAAGAGCCTTCCCTGATTCCCTTTTCCAGACCTTTGGAAGTTCACTTTTTATCCTAAAATCCCAAAGGCCCCAGAGGTGAAGGGAGCCCCTCCCCCACTCCTGGCCTTCCGGAAAGGGGTGAAATGGGGGCTCTGGGGCTTTTGGGGGGGCACAGAGGAGGAGGAGGCAGCCGTGGGGCTGGTCAGTCTCCTGAAGCCCCCC